CCTCTCGGTTTACCATTATACCTCTAGTGAAAATCGACGAGACATTCTTTATGTTATGATTGTTTTGAACTACTTTTGCTTCGTACAATTTCTTTTTTATATCTTTTAAGAGAGTTCATTTGTAATTTAATTATGCAATCGGTTTTTTCATTCTTCTTGGTTGAATTTCTAATTGACAACCTTTGAATATTTATTAATCTTTCAGTTGTTAATGGAATCAGATAAATGTGTTCGAGTTTAAAAGGAACATAAATATTAATATTTTTTGTATTTCGAGATTTAAATATTTAAATTACATTTTCAATATTTTTGTTTATTATAATAAAAATTTCTGTTATAATCTCTGGGATCCGTAGTATATTGCCACTTATAAAGTGGTTGACTTTTGTTTTTATAAAACAATTTAAAATTTACTTCAGAAATCTTAATTACAATTAATTTAAAACCATCATTAAAGTCTTATTAGTGGATCATATTCAACGTACATGACCATTTATTGAAAGTCGACTTCTATTAAGAAAAATTAAAAACCTTGTGGTCCTTGGATATTGATTATTAAAAATTGACTTTGTTAAATAATATTCTTATTCTCTTACGATTCTTAATTTTTTTAAATATAAATTTAATAGACAGTCAATAATACAATAATGCCAGGTTCAATGGCCGGATATCTGCTTCTTTAAAACTTTAAACTAATCCCAAACTCAAAGGATGAGAAATCAAATTTCCCTTTTTCTTTTCTATTAACAAGAGACAATTTGGAGAAAAATGTACCAAAAAACGAGTATTAATGATTCGCTTTTTTTTTTTCTTTTTTTTTCATTAAAAAGAGACAATTCGGAGAAAAATGTACCAAAAAATGAATATTAATGATTACATTTCAAACTTGATCGAACGTTAAAGTATGTTTTACTTTCTATACATTTTTACAAGATGATTCTTGGGTTGGTTTATATGATAGTTGACAAATTATATCACTTATTTATCTTCTTTAATCATGTCGAATCATATATAATTTAAAATATAAAAAACCTCTTTAGTTTGCATCTTTTGTCCTGAATATTCAATGTTGGATTGCTTGTATTCCTTTTATTTTTATTTTTATTTTATTTTATTACGTCATATGTTTGCTTTGACACAATAATATAATGCTACTCTTTCATTTTTCTTAATAATAATAATAGTAGTAGTAGTAGTAATAATAATAATAATACTAATAATAAATAAATAAATAAATAAATAAATAAAAAGAGAAGTGGCCGCCGAGTTCAATATGCCGGCAACGAGCAAAAGCATAAATGAAATCCAGCAAGACATAGATGAGTGTATGAGATCCTTTGAATCAAAAGAGCATTCTTTTTATCGTTTTTGTTATTTTTGTATTTTATTTTGATAATTTCTAGTTTGGATTTATAGTCTTGAAGTGAAATTTAAATAAAATACTACAATTTGCAATTTAATTTTGGTATAAATCTATAACTAAATATAAAATAACCCTGAAAAATGCATATAATGTTATCTTTGCACAAAATTTTAAAGCAATTTTCAATTTGTGAGATGTAAGTATCTACTTGATATTTTGAATCGTTTTTAACCGTTTCTCCATCTTTGTCACAAGTACATATGTACTTTTATAGAATACCCTACCCCCACACGTATATCCAAAAAAATAGATTTTTAGACTTGTATATCTAACAACGGGGCCTCATATCCGAATTTTGATTGTGCACTAGCCACCAATTACGTAGGTTTCGTTTATTATTGATTTTAGACCCAAAACTTCTTATTGTTAAACAATCGGAAAATTTTAGGTAATTGGAAAACTTAAGAAAAAAGTGCTTATAGAATAATCTATACAATCTAACATTAGATATTGAGAAAAAGGGCGAAATTCAGAATATCATTTGACATCATATTTTGAGAAACGGCAAAATTAGTAGCTTTTCATATTCTTCTTTTGGATTCTCCAATTATCTATAAATGAAACACAAAATTTAACACTAATTAAATAAATTAAATCATCTTCTACTTATAGACCATAACTTTTTTTTGGTAATTATAAAAATTTTGAGATTTAATATATATTAAAATTTTAAAATTTCAAAGTAACTATGGTGAATACATTTTCTTTGGAAATATTTGATAATAATACCTATTGTTAAAAAGAAAAAATAAATAAATTTTACAGTACTACCCATAACAAACAACAACAACAATAGTAATACAAAACAACAATACTTTACAAACAGCCTGTTTGGGAGTGATTTTGTGGTCCAAAAAATTGATTTTTTAACCGTTATTTCACTATTTCAGTTGTTATATTTGACTTCTTCTCTCACAAGTGGACCACACTTTTCTTCTAACGGTCAAAAAATCAATTCTCAAAATCACCCCCAAACAGGCTTAAAGTTAAAATTATGATTTTGAAACATAAAACAAATCTGGAACAAAACTTATCAAGCACTCAGTTGATTATTCGCCTAGCTAATACTTCTTTAGCACAACAAAAACTGGTTTTCTTAAAATCAATACACAAACCAAACCTTGAAGTGACAAGCAGATGACTATAAATGTGGAGAATTCCTAGAAATTAGGGCAAATTCAAATAGTGATATCTCCTAAATTGGTGATGGGAACCATTCAATAGAACACTTGCATTATACACTCCACAAATCCTTCTTGAGGCGCCGTACGCATAGCCATAATCGGAATTGGGTGTTATTATGTTAGATATTTGATGATATTTAGTGGCATTTTTTAGTGAATTAAAAAAGTGTTGAAATATGTATTAGGTTGGATATTTATTTATTCTATTTATGCTAAATATTAAGAAGAAAAATTGTACTATCAACTTATGATTTTATTATTTTTTAAAATATTATGGGTTGAATTGAACTCGAACCGAAATGTATGATCTAGGTTCAGGTTTGGTTCCAATAGTTCATGGACTCGATAATTCCATTTACGAAATATTCGAAAGTGTAATTGATGGTTCTAGATTTTGAAATGCCCAAACTGATTCATCCTACTCTCAGTCCTATTAGCAAATGAGGCACGTTCATATGTTCTTTTATAATGATTTGGAGTCTTGGACGAAAAAAAATTTATTAGAGGAGCCTTAAAACAATCAAATTTAAAGAAATAAAAATGTGTTGTAAAAGGTGAAACCATAGTGGAAAGATAATTTAATTTATCATCGGTGATAATGAACATCAACTTATTTATGTAACAGTAGAATTTTTGTTTCAATATCGAATGAGTAAAACCTATTTGTAAGCACTTGTGATGAACAATAGTCAACGTGACTATAGGGAAAAGTATGTTTTTGCGGGTGGATTTAGAATAAAGTACACAATCATTGGTATAATAGAAAGTTGTGTTGGAAATACAATGTCACTTTTCAAAGGATTCTTAGCACCCCCAGGAGGGGACTATTTGTCACTATTTATAGGAGGAATGATCACACCACTTGGTCAACCAATGTTATATTTGCTACAATGTTGACTTAGGGATGTGTGCCACTATCCTAAATTCTAGTTTTCGATTAGTTGTTGAGGTCGACTTTGCAGATCATTATGACACGTATGTTTCAACCGTGTTGTTAGGTCATGATGACCTGATACTGAGTAATTATTATTGGCATGCTATTGGTTGAAAAATAGTGTTCATGTCAGGATTGTCACGTGTCTTTCAAAGAGAGATTGACAAAAAGGTAGAACAGTGTGATAAGAGTTTAGAAATTAGTATGTCTTGCAAATGACGACTATCGCATGTCCAATTTATTCTAATTACATGTATGTCCAATCTCGAGGTTTAGTATGAGCACTGTAGTCTAAATATTTTAACGAGATGAGATGTCGAACTATTGTAGTAAAAAAATATAAGGGAGATTCAATTGTGGGATTCAAGGATCTTGCTTGCTTACAAGAATGTAGCAAAGATCCTCCCCACGCCCCAAAAGAATTAGTGAGGATTGTCCATTGTCCGAAGTAGCTCTGTCGTGAAGGCTATGCCATTCTTTTAAAACATTCTTGGTAGAGTTAATTGTTCTAATGGTCACTGAACTTAAATTCATGTATTTGATTGGTTACTGAAATTTAAAATGTCGAGTTTTGACCACTAAACTTTGAAAAATGTCAAGTTTTGGTTACTGAATTTAGGTCATGTCTTTAATTGGTAACTAAAATTTAAAATGTCGAGTTTTGGTCACTGAACTTATGTCAATGTCTTAGATTGCTTACTGAACTTAGGCCCATGTATTAGATTGCTCACTAAAATTTAAAATGTCGAATTTTGACTACTGAAATTTGGAATATGTTGTACGTTACTCACAAGTATAACTGTTGAATTTTGAAAAATATCGATTTTACAATGAATAATGTACAACATTGTTCAATGTTCAATGAGTAATGTACAATACTTTTCAAAGTTTTGTGAGCAATGTACAACATTTTTCAAGGTTCAACGGTCAAAACTCGACATTTTAAATTTCAATGAGCAATTGAAGATATAGACATAAGTTCATTGATCAAAAACTCGAAATTTTTCAAAGTTTAGTGGTCAAAACTCAACATTTTAAACTTCAGTGACCAATCAAAGACATGGACCTAAATTCAATGATCAAAACACAAAATTTTAAAGTTCAGTGGCTAGTTAAAGACATGGACCTAAGTTCAATGACCATTGGAACAATTAACTCTTCTTGGTAATTTACTTAAAATTAAGCATTTTGTTTTCAACTTTTAGCCCCCCGCTTGGTAATCATTATTTTCCTTTTCTTTTGTAGAAATATATTTGGCTTCGAATTTCTAGTCATTGACTTGAGGAAAAAATTGTAAGCACGATTATTTAACGAAAATTTGTAGACTTTCGATCTTGTGCTACTATAGTTAAAGATTAAGGATTAATTAGCTCAACCTCAAATATTATAGATCAATTATAATCTTTCATAATTAATTGAGGACTAATAGTGCAATTTTCCTTGAGCATTTTATGCAGAGTTATTCTCCGCTTTAGGGTTTCGATGCTACACTACTGAATAGATAGAAACCACATCCAAAAGCGGCCGCTGGCGGGAGGAAAACCATGGCTACTCAGATGAGCAAAAAGCGAAAGGTTTCTCTCTTTCCCCCTATCTATATATGTCTTTATCTGTGTGAAATTGGAACAAATACATAATTTGTTAATTTGAAAATATTAAGAAACCATTATTAATATGGTAAATTTTTTATTTTTTTGATGATATGTTAATCGTGTTTTTTTGTGACACTAAAATTATAGTTTGTAGCGGATGGAGTTTTCTTTGCGGAATTAAACGAAGTGCTGACTCGAGAACTGGCCGAGGATGGGTACTCTGGTGTGGAGGTTCGAGTAACTCCTATGCGTACTGAGATCATTATTCGTGCTACTCGTACCCAAAACGTTCTTGGTATATAAATTAATGCACTTCACAGAGATTGTTTACCTTAATTTTAGCTGCATTGGTGCGTGTTTCTCGTTGTTTTGTAGATTGTGTGGACCTAATATCACAGGTTTTTCGATTGGTTTTGTTATTGAAGTTAGTAAGAATGCATATGGATAGCAAATGAAGCAAAATGGGATGTTGGGCTTTTGTCTACTAGTATTTAATATGTTTATGGGGTAGAACACTTTTTGAATATCCACTGTACTGGTCAATTATTGGAGATGGACGAGCTAGAGGTTGGTTGAGTCCGAATGTGTTTATTTTGCTCGAGTGTGTGAGTACATGTTATCACAAACCAGTGTTCTAAATTTTTCATTTACTATAAATAGATCATTTGCTTCTTGAATTTATCAGGTTAAGAGATAATTGAGTGTGGCACGACGTTGCTAGGATCTCATATAGGCCTTTATGGCCCTAACCTGTAAACAGATCTTTATGAGCTTCTAAAATATTTTTTACACCATGGCCAATGCCCCACTTAGTCCCATACATGTGTCCCACTATCAGGAATATAATTTTAGTAGCTAAATGATGGTGTGTAATATCGGTCAGCCATGGACCCAGTTACTGGACATGAAAATTAAGAAATTTTTCATATTTTGACCAATTCAAGGTGAAAATGGGGTTGTTCCCTCGCCAAAACTTGGATAAAGTTGAGCCAAAAGTTCTCGATTCAAGATAAATTCATGAGGAAGCGGTATCTCTTTAGGATCTACTCCAACATTTAAAAATTGGTTAATCGGTAAAGATACATATATTTGATGCCCTGCCCAAGAGACCCAAGTCCTAGTAGCCCCGCTAAATGGTGATTCAACATAGATTCTACATCTTGAAACCTAGCTAATTTTGGGGCAACTTTATGATAAATTGATAATGAAACCAACTAGCAAAAAGCATTAACACTGCAAAGACCAACGCACCCATTGTGGTACAATAGAGTTCTAATTTGCTAGTTATTCTAGATGCTCGCTAAATTTGAAAAAAATGCATTTGTTATTTTTATTTCTCGAAAACCCCCGCACGCAACACCCTTCAATATTTCTTGGCCCACTATTGGCCAAACTACTTGGGCATTAGGCCCAATATGAGTTGGATCACTTAGTGACGCTTCATAATCAGAAAAAGTGCAACGTGGAAATACATGCCCTCAGCCAAGGAAAGATGATAGGGAGTTGATCGAAATGGCACTAAATACTTTTTTGAGAGATCTCCTCCAAATCACTAGTATGGCTATCGAAATTGCGAGCATCGTATTGACTATTTTGAAATGGAAAGCTGAAACTAACTAATGACATATTTGGATGGTATTCTGATAAACCCCCAATTAAGTTCATGTACTCAAGGCGTCAAAAATCTAGCAAGGCACAGTAGTAATTTCTAGAATTCAGCTGAGTCACTCAATTTGTTAAGAGTTGTTATTCACTTGGTTAGGAGTTTGTTAGGGGAGGGGGTTATAAATAACTTTACAGTTGAGGCTTTGTCATTACAGTTAGAACTTCATTCTAACATATTCCTTGTATTTGAAATTGATCTCTGTACTTTGGCTTAAGTTGTCTATGTAAGTTAAAATTTGATCAATTCGTAAGTGAACTGGAAAAATGTAGGAATGATGTTCAGTGAGATGAGTGATGAACTGGTGAAATGGCAAGTCATTACAGGAACGATGGGAAAGGAGTTAAGGGGGACTTGGGTTGTAGTTGTTTTAGCTTCTATTTTGGGGTGGCTATTTGTATTATGGGTAATTTAAAGATGCTAAAATATACTTCTTTTTTCCACTTGGCGTGGTAATTTCAATAAGAAAAAGAGGAAATTGAGGCAATATATTAAGAGTGCATTACTTCCTATAATGAAAGCCACTGAAATTTTTCTGTGCATGCTAGTTGGGCATGGAATATGTCTCATTTTATCGTGTCTTAATTCTAACTGATGGTATGACATTTATGCTATGCCTCTATTTTCCTTTTACAGGAGAGAAGGGCAGGAGGATTAGAGAACTGACTTCAGTTGTTCAGAAGCGTTTTAAGTTTCCAGAGAACAGCGTGGAACTTTATGCCGAGAAAGTTAACAACAGGGGTCTTTGTGCCATTGCTCAGGCAGAGTCATTACGATACAAGCTACTTGGAGGTCTTGCTGTTCGGAGGTTTTATATGCTTTTTAACCCTATGATCTTCTATGCCATACATGACTATTTTTATTTATCATCTGCTTTTACTTTATTACTGTGTGTTGACTCGAGGCTTGGAGCTTAATACAATTTACAAATAATCTTTGCAGCTATTTGGACTTAACTAATTTCCACTTGTATTGGTTTCCTAGTTACAATCTATTTCTTCAATGAACTGGGTAGCCTCTGCCTAGTAGTCTCAGAATAAATTCAGGATGGTGGTGTGAAATTTATGGTCTCAAAGGATTATGCACTGATTTTTTTTCATTTTTATGCTATCTTACCTGTTTTCTTTTATCTTTAGGGCTTGCTATGGTGTCGTAAGGTTTGTCATTGAGAATGGGGCAAAGGGATGTGAGGTCAGCTTAAACCTATATTCATTTATTGTATCTCTACACGGCTGTTTTTGGGTTCCCACCTTTCTGTCATTTCTATATAGGTTATTGTAAGTGGAAAGCTCCGTGCACAGCGTGCCAAGTCCATGAAGTTCAAGGATGGGTACATGATATCCTCGGGTCAGCCTGTCAAGGAGTATATTGATTCAGCCGTGCGCCATGTTCTACTTAGACAGGTATGCCTTTTCACTTTGTTTTCAAATGAATATAATCTTTGTTGAAGTATGGAATTTACTACATATAAGATTGTCCCCTACGCTATATAACTCGTAACTTCCAATTGATATTCATAGGGTGTGATTGGTATTAAAGTCAAAATTATGCTCGAGTGGGATCCCAAGGGCAAGCAAGGGCCAACTACACCTTTACCTGATGTGGTTACTATTCACCCTCCCAAGGAAGAAGACTACGTTCCTCAGACTGAGTACGTGCACGCTCCTCAGACTGCAGTCGCACCAGTTGAAGTCGCATAAAACCTTCAAGATTTTATTTACCCGAAGATGTCTTATATTTTGTGGTGACTAGCATTGTTTCTGTACTCTGCTCTCTGTCGAATACTACTAGATAGTACGAGGCATTGTTTCCAAGTTTCTATTTTGACTTTTAATCATTTAATTTTGTTCGCCCCGCTTTTTATGATAAACTTCAGCTTTACATTGTGATAGGCACTTCTTGTTTTGCTTAATTATAGTGCCAGATTAATAATCCAAATTTGGTTATTAGATTGCAAATTTTTGTTTGATTTTATTGAGTTCAGGTTTGGTTTCGGTTCTTGGATGGTTATGTTATGTTATTTATTTGTGGGGTATATAGTGCAATAAAAGTGAAGGTTGGGGAGTATAAAATTGGAAAGATGCTACCGATCCAGAGTAGAAAACAGGGGCGACGTGTCGACAAGCAAATAGACAATTTGAATATTTTTTTTTTTAAAAAAACACATTAATCAAAAACATCCAAATCAGCTTGTTTTCTTGCTTCTTGTCGTCAACTCTGTCTAAGGAGTTTAATTCATAAAATTGTCCCCTTTGGTTCGTTTCTTTTTATTAATTTTAAACTTTAAAATTAACAAATATTTATTTGATAACTGCGGTTAGAAAAGATACGCTAACTCAATCACTGAATATTTCCAATATTCAATAACAAATAAATAAAGACTACTAAAATGAACGTTTAACTTGTATTCATATGCACTAATTACTTCGAGAGTATTGATAAACTAATGCTTTCTTTTATTTATTTATTTATTTTGCTTTGCATATACGGTAGATTTTGTTGGAGAAAGAATTCAAATCGCTAATGAAGATAGCCTTGTGAAGGATCATCAGAGGTCACACTCATTGGATTATGAAATCCATTGATATATATATATATATATATATATCTATGACAGTGATTACAGCCGCCCTTAAAATGAAAATTACCACTATACTTTGTGGAATGGTTTAAAATTTTTGCAGCCCTCTTAGGGCTATCTCTTGATCAGTACTCGGTTCTGTTTGACTCTCCTTTCTGCATCTGATCTCCTCATCCTGCGTAACGTGTCGAGACATGAAAATACGAGATTGAGGTCTCTTCATTTACTAGGAAAATTAGGAGGATAGATTCTTGAATAATGCTATTTATATATAATGGAGTTACATAATAATTTACATACTGATGACGTGTCAAGAAGAGATTGGACTATTTTTTTTTTTTTTGGGTTGAAGAAATTTTGATTCAATTATATCTCATAACATTATATGTATGTAAACCATTTTATAAACCATTATGAATATGCAGTACAACCGTAAATTCTTTAGTATCATGGACAAATTTTTTGAGATGATAACTATGACATAATATGATCAATATATGAACATATTTACTATAGCGCTCGCACAATAAGATTTTAAGGGCACTATTTTCTTAGGTTGGTCTTATCCTACAAACTTCTATAATTGTGGTTAGCTTGTGGAATGGTCTATCACAAGCCTACGTAGCGTTTGAATCTTGATTTTATAAACTAAATGGTCTAAATACATATTGACGCTTCTAGATCCAAGTTTTGGATAGACACGGTGTGTGTAAGAGAGAGAGAGGGATAAGTCTATCATAGGACTATGTTATGTTTGGATTGTGCTTTTTATAAACTATAAATGATCCAACACTTTTTTGCGTGTTCAGCTTGGAGTTTTGAAGAGACATTGTATGTGTGAGAGGGAGGGATAAGTCTATCGCAGGACTATGTTATGTATGGATTGTGCTTTTTATAAACTATAAATGATCCAACACTTTTTTGCGTGTTCAGCTTGGAGTTTTGAAGAGACATTGTATGTGTGAGAGGGAGGGATAAGTCTATCGCAGGACTATGTTATGTATGGAACGAGCTTTTTATAAGTTACAAATGGTCCAATACAATTTTATGTGTTCAACTAGATTCTAGATTGGAGTTTTGGGGAGACACGGTGTATATGAGCGTGAGAGAGAAGGAAGAGTCTATCAGATGGTTAGGCCATGTTTGAATCGTGCTTTTTATATACTATAAATGGTCCAAAATATATTTTACACGTTGAGTTCTTTGTGCCCACACAAATTCGAGCTGGATTCAAAATCTTTCCCTTCTGATTGACCTTAACGGCATTCCCTTTGAAGTTATGAGCATTCATTTCAAAATTCTGAACGTTCATCTCTCTTTTAGTTGTAGTTAATGTACCGTGGAAATCTTATAAAACTAAAAAATGGTAAATGTCAACTCCCCTTGAAACTAGTATTTTGAGAGTGGAGAGGACAGTCAGCATCATGCCCACAAATTTACTTGATGGAATCACGGCAAGGCTGTCCACAATACCCCACCTACCCCCACTCTTGCACCCGACCGAACACCATTTTGGTTGTTTGCCGGCGTACGTCTCTCTTTGAAATCCCATTATAAATGGCATTAGCACGCCTGTCTCTCTCTCTCTCTGAAATCCCCACTCACTATACGTATGCATTTTGCATGTGCATACCAAACCCACGTTTGTGTACAGATGATGATGAATATTAATTCTTCTTTATTTCTTCTCACAATCATCACAACAAATGCAAAATCTCCAATTAAGAGAGAGAGAGAGAGAGAGAGAGAGAGAATATCTCAAGAAAATGACTGAACTAGACAAAATATTGTTTAGTCGTAAAATTTTGATTATTTTGTTGGTTTCAATTTCATAATATAAAATTGTTCTTCTAGATTAAAGGTGGAAGAATATTCATGTATTTTTAGCCTCCTAGTCGCATATACAGCAGTTGAAATGGTTTTGGAAATGAAATAGATTTTTGGATCCTAATTTTAATTTATGAATGCATATAAAAACAATAAGAGGATGTTTAGATGGTGTTTTTGATTGGGATGAAGTTATGAACATTCCAAACTTTAACTTCCACGATAAATTTACTCAATCTATCTCAAGTACCGATTATGATATGATCCAAGAATTCAAAAGATGCAACACTCGGCATATAATTTCCAAGGACTCTGTTTACAGGTCACATGAAGTCTTGTTTTTAAAATTTTTAAGTCGTTTTCCTCTTGAGAAAGGCAAGGCTGCGGTTGGTTTGCTTTTTTGTGCCATTTTCCCTTTTGCCGTTTTCGAAAACGCGGTCCGCGTTTTTAGTTATAAATTCCCAAAACACGGAAAACATCCAACACGCTGTTTTCTGAGAAAACTAAAATTCGTTTTGAAATCGAAAATGAAAAATGGAAAACTAAACCAAACGTAGCCTAAATTTTTAATGTGTTTATTCATCTAATATATATATTTATATATATAGACGTGATATTATGTTCGGCATGTGGAAGATGGGACCCGCATAAGTCACGCCCTCCAAATATTTTGTGCTCTTGAATAATAATTTAGGAAAATGCGCATGCTATATATACATCAACCAAAAATAATTGTACTAGATCTAGGGTCAACTAATTAATTCTTAATTACATTTTTGTCCATCCTGTTATACAACCAAAATTTAAAATACTATTTTCCAATATATATTTAGGGATTTCATCGTTTTATAATATCCCGATTTGGAGGAAAGGTAATTTTTAGTATATTTATTAAGAAATTATAAATAAAGATAGGCCTATTAATAAGTCGAATCTTAACTAATATTTGGTCGTTAAAGACTAAATTAGCAAGAGAGGAAATAAATCGTAATTGTTTTGAAACATTTTTAAAGATTTTTTTTTTTTTTTGTTAGTCAAAGTTTTAAAATTTATAATTATTTCTCATCTACAAAATTTCATTCATTTATTTTCACTCTTCTCACATACACCTTGCAACAAAAGCAATTTAAACAAACTGAAGGGGAATTTAGATTTATGGGGGTGACATCCGCACATTTTTATGTGTACATAAAGATAGACAGAAGGAGAAGCGAGAGAGAAGGAAAAAAAGGAGTAAAGCATACACTCGTGCAAAGTTCACGTCAAATCAACTTAATCCAATATGTAGTACCGTTGTGAATTTTCTTATTGATTTGAACATGATGTAACATCGAAAAATTAATGTAACCCTGTATTTATCATGAACTTTGTTTCGTTTGTAGCAACTCCCTTATACAAAATAAAAAATTAAAATAAAACTTAAGTATGATCATGCATGGGTTTAGAGAAAATTAATGTATCTTTTTTGGTCAACTATCCATATATTTAAACAAATTCGTGCCACGCTTAACCTGCTTGAATTTTTCATTTTACCTATAAAATGTGGTCATATGTTAGGACATTTCTTGGTCACACTTAACCCTCTAGAATTCTTACCTCCTTCACTCTTCTCTCTTTCTACTTTTAATTGTCAAGATTCATAATCAATTACCACCATGGGTGAAGCTGTGGAGTTCTTTCATTGCAATGGATTCTCTAAAGTAAATGAAATTATTATTGAGGAAAATGGAAGTGATGATTCTTGGTTTGAAGAAGAGATTGATGTTGATCTCAAATGGTCTTTTGCCTTGAACAAGTAAGCATCAAACATAATTTTTCTTACTTATTTATGCCCATTCCTTTGTCCTTTCTTTTCAAAACAAGAGAGATTCTGTGATCAAATATATAGCTTAACAAACAAGATTTTAGCTTTCATTTAAATACATAGCTTTCATTTCTTCTCTTAATTTATGGTTTTATTGTTTCTATTTGAATCTTGAAATTCTAATCAAATCACTACTCTCCCTACTTACTTATTTTTGAGAATATAATTAGTGCATGCATAGTGTTTAGCCAAACATAGTCTCAAGAAAGGTTAATGACAAAGCAACACTTAGCACATAGATATACATGTTGTCCAAATTCTATTGTGAAATGTAAAGCTACAATTTTGTTTATTATACTATTAAGTCCGATCTAGTATTTTAAATTCTTGCATCACCAAATAAAAGTCGTCCCTCTCTCTCTTTCTCTCTTAGAGTGCTGCACAAAGGGACTAGTGAGTACCAGGATATTGCTCTTTTGGACACAAAAAGATTTGGGAAGGTAAATATATATCTTCTATTATTGTTGGAATGATATTTTTTTGTTGATTTGGTAAGAAAAAAGTGTGTTATTTGATTAATAATTATCTGGATGCATGCCTATAGGTGTTGGTAATTGATGGGAAGATGCAGAGTGCAGAAGTTGATGAATTTATATATCACGAATGTTTGATTCATCCATCTCTCTTATGTCACCCCAAGTGAGTCTTATCAACTAATCATTTTTTTATTCATTCAAAAAAAATTTGAGCTCTCCTAATCAACTTATATATGTTTTCTACTAATTTGCAGCCCCAAAAGTGTGTTTATTATGGGAGGTGGCGAAGGATCTGCAGCAAGGGAAGCACTCAGGCACAAGTCGATAAATAAAGTGGTCATGTGTGATATCGATCAGGTTTGTTATACGTACACATACGCGTCTTTAGAGTAAATTCAAAATATATTTTCTAACCACGTCATGAATTTAGATAAGATGTAGCTGACTTTTTCTTTTCTTCTCCCCCTACCCCCATCGAGGCATTATATGACAGACAATACCTTTTTAATGCGGATGTCTTTGTAGTTGACTATAGAGAAAGGAAAGGTGAAAATATATTTTGAGGATATATATGTTGTCTATTTGTGGTCTAGTCCACTAATGTTTGTCAGGTTTATATTTTAATGGAGCCAAAATTAGGAAATTAAAATTTGTGAAATATCGATACCTATTAGCTCAACGATCCAATAGGCTAGTGGTACGTGTTTCTTGCACATGGATCAAGACGAACACACCAATAGTAAATAATCGATCAATCGTTTGTATACACAAATTGCTTAAAGAGATAATGACGTGAACGATAATACGGATTATTTTTGTTTCTTCTCTTTACATAGTTTCGTGCTACTTGTTGTAGGAGGTCGTTGATTTTTGCAGAAAGCATCTTACAGCAAACCATGAAGCTTTTCGTAACACGAAACTCGATTTAGTGATTAATGATGCCAAGTAAGGTCTTTTTTATAGTTGTTTTCGTATCACTTGTTCGGTATAAAGGACTCGAGTCATATTTCTGATCTTGTACTCCATTGAGCTAATTACTTATTATTATTATTATCATTTCTGAAGAGCTGAATTGGAGAAAAGGGAGGAAAAGTTCGATATAATTGTGGGAGATTTAGCAGATCCAGTTGAAGGAGGGCCTTGCTATCAACTATATACAAAATCTTTCTATGAAAACATTCTCAAGCCTAAGCTCAATAACAATGGAATCTTTGTTACTCAGGTTCGTCTGAAGGCTCGTACGTAGCTCGGTTGGTAAGATCAACTGAGCAATATTTGATTGTTAAAGAAGAAAAATAAGCTAAAACCATCATATCTATTGCAGTATCTAGTCTCATTTAGTATTACCTACCAAACAAATCCCGATTGTTTTCTTGTTTTGTAGGCTGGACCGGCAGGGGTGTTCAGCCACAAGGAGGTATTCTCATCAATATACAACACAATAGTACAGGTTTTCAAATGTAGGTCTCTGGTATAATTTCGTATCTAGTGCAACATAATTCTCGTCTGTCGCTTGACAATATTAGTTTACGTGAGTCATTATGTGTCGATTAAATGATTTGATGTGCAGATGTGCTGGCTTACACTGCTCATGTACCATCTTTTGCTGATACATGGGGATGGGTTATGGTATGTATGTAAATTTATGAAATTTTCGACTCATAAGTAACATATTATCGCATAATTAACGTGTCTGGACTAATTCAGGCATCTGATCAACCACTCTGCATTGAGGCTGGGAAAATAGACAAGAAGATTGCAGAGAGAATTGATGGAGAATTGCTATACTTAAATGGAGCCTCATTCGTCTCGTCCACCATCTTGAATAAGACAGTTGCTAAGACGTAAGCCCTCAAATTCTTCGTTGTTGTTAGTCACGAAAGCTTGCTCCATGAGCGTGCATAAATCATGTGGCTAATGTGCTACAGACACTGATACTCGTTTTCTTTCTCTCTTTTAAGAACTTACAATGCTCGAGTCGATACAAATAAAGTCTTTTTTGATTCTTCAGGTTGAAGAATGAGAGTCATGTCTACACAGAGGATGATGCAAGGTTCATCCACGGCCAAGGGGTTGCATACCGCAGATGAGAGTTTGCTGCTGTTATTTGGCTTGGGGGGAGAACATAAAACTATGAATAAATTTTATATATTCTATGCTGCTTATGCTGGTTTTAGGATTGTATCTAACTTAAATCAAGTTTATGCAATGCTGAAAATTCACCAGGCTTCAATTAGTTGTACCTTCTCTTTTCTATAATTGAATCCGTGGAAGAGATTGTTTTCTTATCGACTTTGGATATTAGCACTAAAAAAGACTTGGTGCAACCCGTCTCTCACTAAAGACCTAATTCATTTTACACGATTGTTAGAACTGACGTTGAAAGAGGTTCATATGCTCAATTGTGGCAAGGTGGACATTTATGTGAGATAGAAGAAACTGTGACTAGCACAATTCCAAAGGGCAAACAATGGGCTTTAGCATCAAGAAGGTTTGGACTAAGTGCCTATGTTGCAGGTAGCTTTCAATGACTGAGATGGGCTAAGCATATGCCTCACCATTTCACGCTACATGTACATAATGATTTACATATACATAATATGATGAGATATGATTGGATCAGAATTTCTTTAATCAAATGACAAAAAAAAAAAAAAAAAATTCACTATTCTGTTTTTGACACCTCATCTATATGTAAGCTATTAGATAACTTCATTATGTATAAATAGCATTTTTCTTACTAAAAAGTGAGGCCAAGAATCGTCTAGTTTTGCTCACTGAACAGCTAAACGATATGCTTTCTCATTCAAAACAAAAGAATAAAGCCGCTCAATGATATTAAGACTTTAGATTCGATCTTAAAAACGACCAAAGTCTTACATATTAGTTAATATTTATATCTTTATTTAATGTGAATGTAATTGAATTCAAATGCCTCAGATTATGAACTCATTATATAGTTAATATTATAGTTGCAGATACCATAAACTACATAAGCAAACACAGTAAGAGAGAGAGAGAGAGAGAGTTGACAAGAAAATTTGACAGAAACTTCATACAAAAATGCTTAGTTTCTCTTGACTGGATCAAAGTTGGAAACACCAATAATAGCTCCAAGAATGGGTCCAAGCACAACCGCACCAGCCACAATGCTGAGCAAGAAGTTCTTAAGAGACGGGCTCACTCCTGACACTCCATTTCCAGCCGCCTCCGCTGCCTCTGGAATCACCATGGAAGCTGTCAATGCAGCTGCTATTATTGCTGTAATAGCCTTCTCGTTAAAAGAGGCTTCAACTTTAACCTTGGATTGTGATTTTGAGTTAAGAAGACGGCCTTTAACGGCTTCTTCGCGGGCAATAGCGGCTTTAAAAATGCATCGGAGGTCGGTGGCTGCAGCCTCTTCTGGCTGCTGCAAGTGGTGGTTAATGGCGGCACAGCCATTGAAATTGAGGCCATTCTCTCAGATTTTTTTTGCTTTCGTTTTTTTGATAATCTTTTTCTGTTTAGTTCAAGTATTCTAACAGAGCTGGCTTAGATAGTTAGATAGATATTTGGTTGAATAGAATGAAAGGTGGGAACTAGAGATTCTGTGCTTGCTTGTCATTTTGATGCCATCCTATGTGTCAATTTCTTAACCCTGGTTCGGGGGATAAGGTTATCCAATAAGATTGTTACAATAGGTATCGATCTCAGTCGATATGCCACGAAAGCAAACTAAGCATCATAGGGCCAATTGTTTCCACATTGGGCTGGTCTGATTGCAATAATACTATTTAACATCAATCTTGTTTAGCTTCATTCTAGTGTTCATAAAACGTCCTTTTAATTATTGAGCATCTAAATGTAGAAATATGAGTTACATTTAAGATGTCAAACGAGTTACAACTCAAATCCATCACATTCTCAATGGCTCATCGACCCATCCCAGGAGGTAGACCTACATGTTGAATTTACTGGTGTTAAATTTTTAAGAAAAAATGACAACTTTCTAGAAACTGAAAACTACTACATTTTTCAATTTTTACTAGTCCATTTTTCAAAATTTTTTTTTTTACTCTACATTAAATCTTATTTACAGGAACGTAACATACAACACCTTCCATTAAAAATCAAAGTTCAGTTTTCAGTGTAAAAATCAACAGTTTACACGAGTTACATGTGTTAACTTATTAAGTTTACATGTTATGTTACCTTCTTTTCATCATAGATTTGCATGTTCTGTTTAACCACAAAACCTAGGTAATAAATTGGGACAAGAAAGCCAAAAAAAATAAAAATAAAAATTCCGATAACTATCGAATTTAAAGAAGAGAAAGGGAAGAAGAAAACTCACAAGCATAACTTTTTACTTAAAACATAAAGCCCTACTATAGTGTCAGGGCCAAATGACAGGCCATGTCATAGGGCCGAGAGAAATGATATTCAAATCAAGGGCCCACCTCGGCCCTATGACAGGGCCACTTATCCGAATGGCAAAACCCTAGAACACAATGATAATTGTAAGAGTAAATTTGGCACCTACTTAGATAATAGTTGCATGTCATCTCAAGTTAAAACTAAATCTAAAAGCTAAAAATACATGATGTTACGCCCCTATCTAAACCACCTTGGAATGTCCACCACCCAAGTACTCCAATCTGATAGACGCCTACTCAAAGTGGTTCCGAAGTGATCTCTCCAATGTCAACGACCTGCTATCACACTGCAAGACATAGGTAATCCTGCTGAACTGACCAAAGCGCCCTCGCCTATGAGGCCGAGACGAAGTGCACTCCGGGGATCTCTGTCACAAAATCTGCCGCCAATTTCAGAAGGAGATCTTTGCCAAGATCTCCTTTTCGCCCCTAAGGTTTAAATTGATTTGACGTTTCCATGATGTTAGTTGATGTGACTTATCGACTTTATGTCAACTCAACTCGGGAGAAGCAATTACCCCCTACTCTACGGACGCGGCTGATTGACGCCTATGAGCAGACACCTCATACCGTTAGATGTATACACGTACCCCACATCCAACGGTTCATCTCACCTATAAATACCCAAGGGTTGGCAAGAGGCAAAAGTAATGAAACTCTTACTACATAGTACTCCATAGCAAGTATATATATTTTTTCCTCACCTTTATTATTTTGCACAACCCTTGGGTACTGTTCCGACCACCTGAACCTGACTTGACCGTCGGAGTGTATACGGCCGCCACGACCCCCGCTGGTCCCGACCGTGTGCGTTTGACCGTGCGTTGATTGTGTGAAGGGAGGAATACATGGAGTAACTCTCGGTTGGCCACATGGAATGTCTAATTTTCAAGGTCAACAGATTGGCGCCGTCTGTAAGAAACACTTCACGTTCAAAGTTCTACATTCTCCACCGAAGAAACCACCAGAAAACTAGCGATTAACCCTGAAAAGGGCACGTTCTTGAAAAAAAACAAAGTCGAGTTATAATACAAGCTCTCACCACCCTTGAAAAAGGAGATATGATAAGTTATAGCCATGAAGACGACAACCCCATGAGAGAGGCCTCTGAAGAGGAGGTGCTCCATAAAAATGTTACTCACTGAGACCTCATCACCGACGTCGCCGAGGTGAAAGAACAGCCATGCTCACTAAAGGAATGACTCAAATAGCTACGGGCATGAGAGACATTGCAACTCAGAATATGGCGATGCATGAACTTCTCATGCAAGCCCGAGGTCACCAGGGCTCTCAAATGCTCCAAGGATATCCAATACAGGAAGCCCCAGTACCTCGTTCTCGAGGCCACAGCAGTCAGCACAGAGAACGCCCCCTCGAAAGAGAAGTGGACGCCGAAGCCACGTCTTATGTGTAAGGGAACCAGCCATTAGAACCACACTTAGGGGAAAATTTCCCTCAAGAATATGAGGAACGGAGGTCGGTAAGAGTCTTCGACTGGATTGGGGAGGATCCTAGTAATAGGATCCGCCCAGTGAGAAGATCAGTTCGGCCAGATCAGAAACAAGAACACGCTCCTCCTCCTTCTAGAAATAGGGAGGACAGGAGGAACTTAGTCGATTGGAAGGGTCGAGGAGAAGCACCTCCACCTCCCCAGAACATTCAAGATGATGAAGGGTCAGATGGGCCCTGTCGTTCTTATGAGATTGACGATGATAATGATAACCTCCATTTCTCAAGGGAGATCCGAAACTTCCCAATGCCAGCAAATTTCATACCCCTTAAGATCCCCAAGTATGAAGGAAAGGGGGACCCGGAGAAGCACCTCACCAAGTATATGACAGAAATGAGTCTCAGGGGAGCCTCGCCTGCTTTGAAATGCATAGCCTTCCATTTAACACTAGGCGGAGCCGCCGAAGTGTGGTACAGCAGGCTTCCTCCTCTAAGTATTAGAAGTTGGCCAGATTTGAAAAAGGCATTCTTGAATCAGTACCTCTCGCGAAGAGAAGGAGAGGCCCCAGTGTAACGCCTGCAAGACATAAGGCAAGCCCCCGGAGAGACGCTAAAAAACTATCTCGCCAGGTTTATGGACGAAATCACATACTGCAAATAGGTCACTGACAAAGAAGCCCTTTCAGCCCTGAAAGACGGCCTCAACATGAATACTTTGTTCTGGTGAAACGTGTGCAACAAGAATCCTTCCACCTATGACGAACTCGTGGAAATGATGAGAGTTGAGATCGTAAGTGAAGAAATGATTGATCACCAAAATCGTGCCGCGCAGGGACTCCCTCCTCCTTAGAGGCAGGTAGGTCAAGGACCCGTAGCACACCTTGTTACTCAGCAATGGACCCAAGCAGGACACACAATAGCTCCCACCTCCGGATAGGCATTGGCTTCTGCCACACTAAATGCAGTGTCGGTATTGGCATATGAAAATGCTCCTAGCGAAGCGTGGCCATCTGGAAGAAACGATAGCAAGAAAATGAAGAAGAAGTGATCAAATAGGCCCTTAGAAGGGACAAAGTTTTGCAGTTTCCATCAACTCTATGGGCATGACACCAACGAATGCAGAGACGCTCCTCGACGCCTAGGCCAGACTGACCCACACCCCTTTAGGAGGAATGAATATCCTCGTAGATCTGTCTCCCCGAACAGGGGAGATCGAAGGCACAGAGAGCAGTTTCCCCTGAGAAGAGAATCAAGGGACCAAGGAGAGTCCAAGCAGAGAGATCAGGCCCCATTTTCTGGGGGCCAAATCATCAGGGAAATCGATACCATCATTGGGGGACCCCACATCGGTGGCAATACAAGGAATGCCCAAAGGAATTATACAAGGGAAGCAAAGGACCCACCAATGATCACTTACATTGTCA